ACACACACACACAGACACACACACACACACACACACACACACACACACACTCATACATGCTCTCGGTAGCACACGCGCGCACACAGATGTGCCCGCAAGCTTCGAAACCGCCATGACCCGTGTGCTTTTCGAACTCTGGAAATCTTTATGGTGCAGACATAAAGCTGCTTCAGTGCATCAGAGCAACCAAACATAACCTAGAAGCAACTTGCAAAGAGCCAGCGCCCCTGCCAAACACCTGACCGACTCATGACGGTGCGAGGCTGCAGACCAGCCACGTTGTGATCTGTCAGATGCCGAGAGGCACGCGCTTGTCGGCGCTTGTCGTTTTTTCGTGGGTTGCTTGAGATCACCCGGGCTGGCCAAAGCTGTTCTTGCGACTTGACATTGGCCCTGGTGACAGTCAAGTCATGGACAGATATTTTTTCTCACCTCAAAAGGGCGTTTGCTGGCATCTTAGGGACCTCATTCGAGCCATCTTGCCGGCACGCAATTGCAAAAACCACAGAAAATCACGATGCCCACTGCAGGAGTGCTCGGCTCATGGACAAAGTGGCTCTTCCCTTGAAGGGGCAGAATCAAGCGACGCAATGCGCATGCAAGGTGGGCTAATTTCGCATATCATTTGAAGGAGTACGACAATTGCCAAACCATGCTTGGATTTCTCAGATTGCAAACTTTTTCACTGCAGACGCTCTTTTATGCAACGGTCCGCCATGGAACTGTAGACGCTCTTTTGTGCAACTGTCCGCCATGGAAGGGCGTGTGAAGCGGATCTTGCGCGGGCGGCCTCTGTAGGATAAAGTCCGCTTAAACGAGATTCCAGAGCCCCTTGTGTGGTGCTGCTTGCTGCGTGGCTTTTTCGACTTCCACTACCAAAAGTCGGCGACAGAGCCTTCAGAGGGCTGAAGCCTTCTGGCCCCCTGTTTTTTTGGCACATGGCGCGTGTTGTAAAGCTGTAAGAGTTTTGATGTTTGGAAGATCGAAGAAGAAGGTCCTGGACCCTTGGAAGCGAGATTTTGGGATGTGTCCTGTTTGGAGAGGCAGCTTTTGGCACGTGTGGATTTCAATGTGCCCCTGCAAGGTTTTGGGACCCAGGCAAAACAGACCCTCAGATTTGTTTCTTCGGATGTGCTTGGGCCCTTGGAATTGGAGGGGGCAGTTTTGGTCGGTGCCAAGATTTTAGCAATTATTTGGCTAAGGGCAAGCAAAGGCAGCTTGGAACCTCGGGATCCCTTTCTGAGCGCGCTACGTAACAAGCGTGTGGGTAAGTGGGGCCGCCATGAGCCTTTCACCCATGGCTCCAATAGGAACTAACCAGGGCTCCCATTAAGGCTGCCAGAGCTTTCCCCCACATACCATGCTTTGACTATGTCTCCGCTTCTGTTGTCGGGAATCTGCTCAACAAAGGGTGGTGCTCGGCAAAGCCATGGGAAAGCAGCGGGCTGTGAGTGTACCCGTGGACCCTAGCTTTCAAACATTCCCGCACAATTCCATATTAAAATTGGGTGTGGACACGCTTTCTTTCTTTGGGTGGTCACTTGATTTAAAGACACACCTTGGTTTATTCATGAAATACTTTCCAAACCAGTTTTCTTGATATCCCGATTTTCGCTTTCGGCGGCAAAGCGCTGGGGAACAAACACAGACACAGACACAGAGCCACCCGTTATCCACCGGCCTTTTTGCACATGTGCTTCAATGTGTCTCAATGAATTTTATGGGGATTGCTGGAGAAAAGGGTCTGATTTTTCAAGATACGGGCTTTTGACTGTTCCACCACTGCCTGCAGGCCACGTGGCCTTCACGCAAGTCTCCGGGAGTAGGCGCACGCTCGCCTGGCCACGTGGCCTGGGGATAGGGTACGCCTGTTGTAGCCTGGGTCGTTCGTTGGCTCCTTTGTGTTCATTAAACGGATTTTCGGCTCTTGGTTTTATTTCTGAACAAGCTTTTGGGAGGGTCTGAGCCAGGTCTGAGACGGGTCTCAGATAGGCATGGGGGCAGTCGTTCAGTGAGATGGTTTCCTTGTTAATGTTGGACTCTGTTTAATGTAGGGCCCCCCTGGAACAGTCAGAGCAGTCATAGGGGATCCTATAAGGCCTCCCCAGGGCTTGGGGCATGGACTTGACTTGGGCCAAAACTTAGTACTGTGTCCTTTTACTTCTGACTTAGGCCAATACTTATCTTTGTGTCCAGTATTGGTTTTTGTTGCTTTTGGATGATGTTTATTTTTTAAAAAGGAACTTGATGGTTTGGGGCCAGCTTCAAAACCAAGGATTCCCAGATCTGAGCTCTAAGCCTTTGAGCTGGCAAGAGCTTAGGCGAAGCACCCTTTTAGTCTTGAAAGGCTTAGGCTAGATCTGGAATCCTTGGTTATGCTCCCCCCAAAAAAGGTTGCACGTTAAAGGGGGCCCCAAAACAATCTCACTAAAGAGGATCAGGGGACCTCATGTGGTACCCCCTTTGGCTGATTGTTTGTTTGTTGCTTTTTGATGAGTTTTATATAAGGAATTTGATGGTTTGGGGCCAGCTTCAAAACCAAGGAGAGCTTAGGCAAAGCATCCTTTTAGTCTTGAAAGGCTTAGGCAAGATCTGGGAATCCTGGGTCATCCTCCCCCCCAAAAAAAATCCCAGCAAGAGACCCCAAATAGTATTGTTATTGGGCTTATTTTGACGGGTGGCCCGGAAGCATAGAGAGACGTTAACTAAACTCTGACACCTCTCCCACTGCAGGTGAGAAACAATCGCACACACATCAATGTCCCTTCGTACAATGGCTCCGCGAAGACGCGCATTTTTCAAGATGAGAGACTCTCCAGTAGCCTGCCTCGGTGCCGGCAGGGACGCGCCCTTCACGCAAGCCTCCGGCACGTAGCCGCGCGCCTGGCGCACGCTTCTTTGACCAGGACGGGTGGGGTGCGCCTGTTGTGGCCGTTTGTTCGTTGAGGAGGCCCTGTCAGACTTGACTACCAACAACATTTTGGGGGGGTCTGAGCCAGGTCTGAGACTGATCTGAGACAGGCATTGGGGGCAGTCGTTAAGCCTAGCTAGCAGTGGCCTTTGCCTACTGGAAGTGAATGCAGCAATAGGCAATTTGTTGGGTAGGTGTGGACAGGCACATTCTGTCATCCTCTAGTGGGCTTAGTCAGGTGACTTGGCGTCCGAACAAGCTCTCAGGGCTTGTCACAAAAGCCGCCGGGAGAAGCGTGTGGCTCGAGCCTTCTTCAAGAAGGTCATGGATTTGATTTCGTCAGCCTTGACGCTCAAAGAGCGCTGGGTGACCAAGATTCTCTGCCATGAGACGACCATTGAGCTTCGCACAATGTCAAGCAGGGGCATCGTGGGCGCGGCTATGCCGCTGAGCCGAACTCACCATGTCTTCCATTTGTGTTCCTTTGTGGGCTGTAATGAGAAGCTAGCGCCTCGGGAAATGTGCAATGCGTTCCCAGAAACATTGGGATTATGTTTTTACTCTCCTTTTGTTGTGCTCAAAAGCTGCCTTGACCACAGGCTCACTGATGTGACGTGGCTGACGTGGAAGGAGCTCTGCGCAGCCAAGGAACTTGAGCAGTTTGTCACAGACAAGGGCCCCCAATTGGGCCGGGGCTGCTACGGGTACGTCCTGCAGAAGGCCATTAAGTTTGCCGTGCCCATCAGCATTGAGCGACCGAATGGTTCCGCTTCTTGGATTGAGCTCACGCTGGTATGTTCTTGTAGGAATCCATAAAGCTTGTTACACAGTTGTTTGTTCCGGCAGAGGGGAGCGCCCGGAGAGCCCGGCCTGCAGGTAAGTTGAGCGAGCACGTCCTCACCATGGTGACTTGCCAGCTGCTTCTCCACGGGATTGGGGAGCTGGAGCAGTCGGTGAAAGATTTGCAGCAAGGCCGGAAGCGGCAGAGAGTGGAGGAGCAGGAGGAGCGTGCACGGACGAAGCGGGCTCTCCACAACAAGAACCCCACCGGTGACACGACCCCCGCCACAGAATGTGCCTATTGCGGAGAGAAGAAAAAAACCGATCTAAATGGTATGTGTACAAAGGGAGGATACCTGGAAAATGCTGCAAACAATGCCACTCAGAGCGCACGGCTGACCGCAAGGCTATGCGCAAGGCGAAAGGGCAATCCGAAGTGCAGTCTGGCGGTAGTGGTGACCCGGCAGACGTGGACTGACGTGCAGAGTGTATGTGGTGGAGAGAAAAGAGAGTGCTGCAGGGCCATGTGCAGCTGGGGGCCCCTGGCAGATCTGGAAAGGTGTCACGAAGCAACATGTGAGCAGCGTGCTTGAGCCAGGATGCGGGATGCAGCCGAGCAGAGGCCTGAGCAGAGGCCTGGCCGGGACCAACAAGGGGAGGTTCGGTCCACGCCTTTTGTGGAGTCCAAAGACGGACGACTAAGACGGCTGTATGGCTGTTGGCCTGAGCAATTTGCTGATGTCTTTGTCTGTGACTCCATCGAGCATGGCCCACAATGATGACTTTGGTACAATGTGTGAGCCAAGGTGTGGCAAGCGCCCGCCCACGTGCCTGACTCTGCCACGAGCCCTTCACGCAAGTCTCCGGCACGAAGGCCCAGGGTACACTCGGGGTACACTTGGGGTACACTTGGGGTACACCTGTATTGTTGGTTCCTTTGTGTTCATTGAGGAGGCCCATTGAACCTCACTGAAGGACTGGGGCGCCCGCCAGCCTGGATTACCAATTGCCAAGTCCAGGGTGGACAGCCCGGGCAGCCTGGGGCTTGGACTACAATTGACAGGGCCAAGTTGGTGCTAGATGGGTGAGAGCCATGAGGAAGCAGGGCCGCAAGGTCACAGCACGTGCAGCCTTTGCGCAGAAGATCTACCAGAGGATGGGCAGAAGCAGCATCTGACCTGGCCGGTCGTCAGACGCACTGGGGAGATGTGGGCTCCAAAGGGTGCAGGCATGGTTCGACGCGGCTGGCTGGAGGCCCAGGCGGCCAACAAAGAAACGCCGGGCGACCGCAGCAGACGACTCTGCCGCAATGCAGAAGTTCTGCGACTTCCTGCGCTTCTCGGTCCAGCAACGGCCGCCCTGCCAGGAGGCGCCTCCGCCTCATTTGGTGTGGGGCTACTATGACCCACGGCGGCGGTACAACAGGGACCAGATCGGGCTGGAGTTCGACTTTACTGGTCGTGGATCTACATGGGCTTCTCCAGAGGAGCGACGGCTTGGACATGTGGCAGTCCGCACAGGTCCAGCTGTGTGGGCCAAGCGGTTTGTGACCATCGACCTCACCCTGTCCGCGGACCTGTCCCAGGAGCAGCCGCCGGCTATTGTGCTGTTTCGTGGACAAGGTCGCGTGAGTGACGTGGAGCGCAACTCGTACCATCCTGACGTCAGAATCATATGGACGCCCAAGGCTTACTTGCGCCTAGGCTCAGATGTGTAGCGCCTTACTCGTTACCACCTTGTGATTTTGTTTGCCTTCAACATTGGCGGTGCCAGGGTGCCCCTGTGCTCCGCATTGCCAAGGAATCAGCAGGCCAATGAGGAGTGGTGCAAGATCTGGTCTGAGTTCAAGGAGTCGGTGCATGGATCTGAGCCAGTCTTGCTGACCTTGGACTTGGTGTACGCGCAGACAGTCCACTCCTTCAAGAGCACCATGGAGCAGTGCGCCACCTACCCCATGCACGGGCCGTGCAATGCCACACACGTGTGGCAGGCCATCGACAGGCACATAGGAAAGACCTTCAAAGACCTGTACATGGAGGAACAGATGGACTGGCTGGGCGACCCGGACCACTTCGAGGGCTACCACAAGTTGACGGCGTCGGAGAGACGGGTTTTGGTGACACACTGGATTGGAGACGCTCGTGCGCGGTACTTGGCCACCAAGGTCAAGCAGCACACAAACTGCTGCAGGGCAAGTGGCTTGCTACTTGGTCTGGACGGCAGTGGCCACCCCAGCGTGGAGTCAAACCCTCTTTTCGTTTTGCAAGAATACCGTGAGTGGGAAGGCCTTCGGGAGGCTTTGGATGGATCCTGGAAACAACCTGCCGCAGCTGAGCCAGCGCCAGGAAGCCCGAGCTCAACCTCCTCTTCGTCCTCACCCACTTCTGATGATTCGTCGGAAAGCGAGGACTCCTTGCCACCCCAGCAAGACGGAGCAGATGATGAAGCAGCTCAAGCTGACGAGGTAGGACCTGCTGCAGCCTCAGCAGGAATCCCAGAAGCCGGCCCTGCCGAAGCAGGAGAGGATGGCTCCGACGACTGGATGCACTCTTACTGCTCGGTTTCAGACTTGGTGGACATGCTGAAGGTTGCCCAGAAGCGCCAGAAGGAGAGGTCAGGGCTTCGCATGTTGACGAGCTTTGCCAAAGAAGGAACTCCTCTCTCGCACCCGGCGAGGCTGAAAGGCTCTGGTGTCCGATTGTCAACGGTGGCGCAGGCTGCCCAGGAGTTGGGCTTGGAGATGCCAGGCTGAGACCATCGAGGCATGTTGAACCAACCGCCAGAAATTGGGGGCCCTTGTCAAAAACGCGCGAGACGGACAAATGCGCCTACACACCACAGATTTGCTATCCGTGAAGAAGCAAGCCGTGGCTGGCCTGGCGTGGGCCGAGTGCCCTAAGGCTTCAACCCCCAAAATTTGCGCTTGAACAACATCTGCTTTGTGCCCTTTGTCCGGCGCGCGCATCTTTGACAAGGGCCCCCAATTGCTGGCGGTTGAAGGGCTTGCTTCGGCCAGGCCAGCCATAAGAGCATTTTCTTCCTGGCGCACCGGTCAAGGCTTCCATAATTCCTTGATGGGTTGCTTTATGGCTCTCTCCCCCATCCCTTTTTCACCTTTTGTACCCTTGTTTAAACCTTGACAGTTCTGTGCAAATCCTTTCCGTGTAGGCGGATTGGGCCCTGAATATTGAAACATGAGATTGAGACTCTAGACTCCAGACATGAGACGATAAGTTCGGGATGAGGGGATGGTTGGTCCCTCGTTATAATATGTCCGGCTCCCCAGTAGCGGGCCAGCTGTACTTTACAAAAGGTTTGCTTTGGGAGGTGAAACTTACGCAAAGCATTTTTCCGGCAGCGCGAAAGTAGGTCTGAGACTGGTCTGAGACGGCTCTGCCACCCATTCCAACAATCGCACTTGCAGGTATCTATCTTGCTTGCTTTTTGGACTTGAGCATGTGAGTCCATGCACCTTTTCAGAACATTACAACAAACCTTTTCGCCAACCCACAGCCCCTGTGGCCATTTTCGTGGACCTTGGTTTGGAGTCAAGAGGCTCCTTTGCAATGGCAGCAACGCCTTATATGGAAACAGGTGCTAAATTCAAACAACCTAACAACCATAATTTTCCAAACAGCTGGGCCATGTTCTCGCAAACTGGAATCGGATTGGGCCCTGAATATTGAAACATGAGATTGAGACTCTAGACTCCAGACATGAGACGATAAGTTCGGGATGAGGGGATGGTTGGTCCCTCGTTATAATTGGTCCGGCTCCCCATAAAGGCAAAAGGCTTGCTTTGGGAGGTGAAAGTTACGCAAAGCATTTTTCCAGCAGCGCGAAAGTAGGTCTGAGACGGGTCTGAGACGGCTCTGCCACCCATTCCAACAATCGCACTTGCAGGTATCTATCTTGCTTGCTTTTTGGACTCGAGCATGTGAGTCCATGCATCTTTTCGGAACGTTACAACAAACCTTTTCGCCAACCCACAGCCCCTGTGGCACTTTTCGTGGACCTTGGTTTGGAGGCAAGAGGCTCCTTTGCAATGGCAGCAGCGCCTTATATGGAAACAGGTGCTAAATTCAAACAACCTAACAACCGTAATTTTCCAAACAGCTGGGCCATGTTCTCGCAAACCAATCCAGCATAGATGGATCATCCCAGCATAGATGGATCATCAGTTTTCGCTCGCCCGGCCAGCTGAGGCCAGATGACGCCGTGGTGACGCGCGCTTCGCTGCTGTATACGCGAGCAGCCAACACACAAAGCCCCCTTGTTTTTTGCACACTTACAACACAAACGAAGGTGTTTAAAAGCAATACTACAAGAAAAACCACAATTTTCGATTTCAGACTCTCAAGTAATTTATTTCCAGCTGATTTTTGACTCTGGTTTCTTGTTTAAAAGGATTTCTTAACACACCGACTGACCGTAGTCCTCATCAAAATAAATAATTTCTTTCTACAAGTATCAATATAATCATCATTTTTATCATCATCATCGTCGTCATCATATAAATCAGGGTCATATGTAAATGCTAATGCTTCTGCTTCAGCCTTGGTTATCAGTTTCCTTTTGAAACTCTTTGAAGAACCGCCTAATATTTTTGTCTCATCATCAAAATTATAAGTTTGTGTCGCTTTATCATTTGGTAGGTCTGTTTGTGTTGCCTTGTTTTCTTTGTTAAGCGTTTGTGTTGCCTTGTCTGCCATCATAACTTTTGCGTTCATATATCTTTCTTTATCTTTATAATTCATTAAATCCATTTTATCAAAAATCAAAATTATTCAATAACATATCTTTTTTGTATTTCTTCAATATAACTGTTGTTTTCATTTTGCTTGTGATTGCTTGTTTAAGCATTTCATCATAAGTAGGGCGTTTCCTTAACTCTTGCTTGTGGTTGTTAATCATTTTATATAATTATGTAAAATTATCTATTTTTCCCTTGTTGCCTTGCCTTTTCCTTTCATATCTCTCCAATCGTTCATTCTTTTTCTTAACAATTCATCATTTACTTCTGTTGTCCATTTTCCGCTGTTTATAAGTTTCTCCACCAGTCCAACTAAATAAGTTCTACCAGTTTCCTTTTTACCTTTCCCCTTTTTCTTTGTGTTTGAATATTGTTGTTCCTGTTCTTCAGTAAGTCCTGCTCCTCTTAAATACAATTGAAATAATATGTCTTCTTCTTTTACTGTGCTTCCCTTCCAATGGTCTATATCTGTTGAATAGTCAATGGTTTCCTTATGTGTTCTTGTTTGTCTTGCTGGTAATGTGGATGAACTGCCAGCGGTGTCCATTTTTTGCTCTCTTCTTTTTTCTGCTTCTTTTATTTCTATTAGTTCAGGACTGTTTTTATCTTCGTCATCTAATCGTTTCAATTCCAATTTTGCTCTTGCTATTTGTAAATTTGAAACTCTTTTTGGTACAGGACTGTCTTTATCTTTATCAATAAATCGTTTCAATTGCAATCTTGCTCTTGCTTTTTGTAAATTTGAAACTCTTTTTGGTTGTAAATCTTCAAATGGCGGTAAATCATCATCACTTGACTTTGCGGTTGCTACTGACTGCCAGTCATCTTCATCTAATTGTCTTGCTCGTTGTGCTCGTTCTTGTAGGTCTGCTATTTGTTTGCTACTAACTCTTTTTGAAATTTGACTGATTTGTCGTTCGTGTTGTTCCTCTGCATCATCCATTGTGGCACTTAGTGTTTGTATTGAACCGTCTCTTAAATCATCCATTTCATCATCCCTTGCCATATCAAAATATTTTGTTTGATTTTCTCCATCTAACATTTTTAAAAAGTTGTTGTCTCAAACCTACTGTATTATTATCATAAACTGTTCCTAATGGACTATCACGAAAATAATAAGCGTTTCGATCTATTACATCTCTTATATTCTTATTTTTGTATTCTTCCGTTGTAATTTCCTTTATCAGTTCATTATAAGACGGTCTTAATCTTAATTGAGATTTTAGTGTTCTCATCTGTGCATTGTCTAATCTCATTAGTGCATTAAATTAATTAGATTATAATTTATTAATCTAATTAATTAATTTAATTATTTTTTTCAAAATCAAAATCTTGTCTTAATTGATTGATTATTCCTTTCTTCTTCTTAATCATCTCTGAATAGGATTTACCTGCTTCACTTGATGGATGATGTCGCAATTTTTCACCTTCCAACCTTTGGAATTCATTAAAATACGCCTGTGCTTCTTCCATATATCTTCTTTTATTTTGAAATACAGCATACTCTTTTTTAGCGCTATGACGTTCTAATTGTTCTTGTAATTCTTTCAAATATGTGTAATTAGGTTGATGTGCCTTGTTGTCTCCTTCATAATAGTAATGTTGAGTTGATTTATATTTATTCTTCTTTTTTGGTTTGTTTGTTTCAAAAACTGCTTTTCTATCAATAACATCACTGATATTCGGATTATCTTTATTTTGCGGTTCTGTTATTCTATTTACAACGTTGTCATAAATTTCTCTACGACGCATACGCAATTGTGTCTTATCAATAATCATTATATATAATACTAATTAGATTATAAATATATTTATCAAATAATTTACTTGCTAAATTATTAATTTTCTGTTTATTTTTATTATCTCGTTCCATTTTCATATTATTGTAACGGTGTTTTGCAGTTTCAAATACTTTATTAGCAGTTGTTTCTAAATGTTTTTTCAATCTTTCTTCTAGTCTTCTTTCTATTTCTTGTTCATCAACTTTTGGTAAATTATCTTTAACTTTTTCATATACATCTTCTTTAAATTCTTCTACTTGTGTTGGATGTAATACTCGTTTTTTAACTGGTTTATTTAATTCAACATCTGTTTTACGTTCTTCTTTGTATATGTGAGAATATTTTAATGATTTCTTACTCATTTCTGTCTTACAATCGGGGCACTGGACTCTTTCAATATTCACTTGTCTTGTTTTATATTTTTTTTGGTTTTAAACGGTTCTACTTGCTCTTCTTTCGGTTTTTCTTTGGGTTCTTCCCTTATTTCTTCCTTTGGTTCTTCATTAGGTTCTTCTGGCTTCTCTTCCACTGGTTCAACTTGTTTATCACTTTCATTTACATCAACAACTGTTATATCTTTCATCTATATATATTTCTATATAGAATTAATTATATAGAAATATATATTAACTATTTGATTGTTCGGTAGGTTCTAATGACTTTAAATATTCTTGATGCTTCAATGTTTTAAGATGTTTGGATTTACCATATTTACAGTATGACCCCCCGCATTCACATTCTGTTTTAATAAGTAGTCTGTCTTTGTTGTCATGATAATGTTGTCTCTTTTGTTCATTGATTTTCTCTTTATTGTCAATGCGATATTGAGTTTGGTATGCTTCATGTTTATCTTTATTTGCTTCTTTGTATTGCTTACCCAGTTCTCTGAACTTTTCCTTGTTATTCTCATAATAAATGCGTCTCCTTTCAACAACCATATCCTTATTATCAATATAATACTGCTTGATTGTTTCCTTATTGTCTTGGTAATATTGTTGGTCAGTTCGTCCTTCTATGCGCTTATTTACACAATCACATTCTCTTTGATAATGCCCTTCCCTTGCCTTTAAATCTTCTTTATTGTCACAATTAAACATTTCTACCAATTCTATTTTACAATTTTTAACCCCATACTTTTCAAACAAATCAAATGCAGAAACATAATAAGAATGTCCTTCCAAAAGCTTTTTATACATAAACCTATGAAGTTCAAACCTT